GAAAAATAAAATGCAGCATACAAGTAGTATATGATAGCATAAAACCAACTATGGAGAAATACTGCAAAGCAAAAATATAAATAATTCTTGTGTCCTGGACACCATGGGCTCCACCACAGGACTCAGGCCTGTGCCACCCAAATCAGGATCCAAGCCACTTGAGAGTTCCACTGAAGGAGTAGAAACCAGGAATCCCAGGGTAAAAGGTGGCTCAGTGGTTAAGAGCCCTTCCTGGTCTTCCAGTGTTTAGTTCCCAACACCCATGTCAGGTGGTTCACAACTGCCTGTAACTCCCAACTCCATAGGATCTGATGCTCTTTTCTGGCATCTGCAGGCATGTGCACACACACAAATTTAATCTTTAGAAAAGGAAAGAAACCAGGAATCCATGGCCCTCTCTAGTAGGAGAGGAGGGCCTCTGCCTCCCACCAACATGCAGCCAGTGGGTGACTCCCCAAAGTAGAAAGGAGGTACTCATGTGAGGATATGACCCTAGAGGCAGATGTGTACAGATTTGGACAACTGAGGTGTGGAATTTTTGTCAAAATTATCTTGATTGTGTTACATTGTATCTTTAATGCTTGAAAAGATAACATTCTGAGCCTGGAGAGGCAGCTCTGTGAGTAAGAATGCTTGCTGCACAAGCATGAGGACCCAAGTTCAGATCCCAGCACCCTCAAAACAACCAGACTGGTCACACACATGCCTGAATCCCAGCACTGTGGGGGGCAGAGGCAGGAGAATCAGTGGGGTTTGCTGGCCCCCAGCCTAGCTCTAGGTTCAGTGGGAGAGCCTGTCTCAAAAGACTAAAGCAGAGAACGTTGGAGCAGGACACCTGATGTCTTCTTCTGGCTTCTGGGTGTGCACAGGAGCCCACATCCGCTCCATTGTGCATACAGAACATACATCACACTCATATACACACGCCCAAAATAAATGAGTTAAAATGAAAAAAAATTGAAAGATAATACATTCAAATGATTCAAAGGTCAGAAAGCATAAAACTATGCAGAGAATGCCTCAAAGCCGCCCATCCTCAAAGCCCGTGAGCTGGTTCCTCCACCCCAAAGTTCCTTATTCGCATTTTCAGAATTTCATGTGTGCCTTCAAATAATGAAAACACAGATTCTTAGTCTCCTTTTATTTTTGTAAAGATTTATTGATTTTTGTTTTATGTGTATGAGTGTTTGGCCTGCACATACATGTGCAGCACATGCACAAGTGCCCTTGGAGGCCAGAAGAAGTTAGATTCCCTGAAACTGGAGTTACAGGCAGTTGTGATCCGCCATGCAGGTGCTGGGACCTGAACCAGGGTTCTCTGCAAGAGCAGCAAATGGCCTTAACCACTAAGCCTTCTCTCCAACCACTTTTTTCCCTTTTTTATTTTTATTTTCTCCTCTTTTATTATTTTTACCGATGTATTTTTTGTTTGGGCTTTTGAGACATAGTCATGAGATCATTCCCAGGTGTGAGGCCCCATAACCAGCAGAATTCTACTGTCTTGATGCATCATAATTGACTTAACCAGGACTCCCCTGTACATTCCAAGTATCTGTTGTTCTCAGCAACAAACGCTGCAACAAATAATGCATGAGAATCTCTGTTTTCTCATTGCCTTATATTTTACAAATACAGTTGTAAAGTTGTGTTTCCCTTCCCCCTGCAAACTTCTTTAAGTCCACACCCAAGGTGAGCCAGGACCTGGGGGTGTGGGTAGTAGATGAGGATGAGGGTGGAAGGTGCACGGGAAGCTCACGAGGTGGAGCCCGGGTGACCTGGGAGGGGAAGCTGCTTTGAGCACTCAGGTGATTTCCGTACCACACAAGGAAGAGTCTCCTGTTAATAACTCGTCCAGCCAGTCTGGCCACAGGCTCCTCCCCTCACACCACCACTTTGGACCGCCCTGCCTCAAGGTCAGCAGCCCGACCTCACAGCTGGGCTCCCTCACCTCCCAGAATTCCAGAGGGAAGCTATCACCCCAAAAGAAACAAGTGTGGTGTCTTTGGCTCACAGACACACAGACCTATTCATGTGAGATTGCACAACCAGATGGAAGATTACCAGCTGAGCATGGAAGAGCAGCAGCACTGCTCCTGGCCTGCCTGCCAGCCTTCAGAGCAGGCCTGTCCCCAAAGTGTCTCCAAGGCTGGAGGGCCTCTAGGGACTCATGGTCCCTCCTGCCAATGGAGGGCTGTTGCTCCTCCAAAAGAGAATCTCTAACAGCTTCCATTGCTATCCTGCAGGTTGGCATCACAGGAAGGAAGCTGGGTCAGGAATAAGACCTTTACACCTCTGTGGACTGCAAATCGAGACTCAGCAGACAAGTCAGCCTTGGAGGACCA